ACTGATTCTTTTTCCCGGCTTCAATCTATTTCTTCTTTGCCTCAATCTGAGGAGGCTTTAGATTCCTCAGAGGTTCTTCCACCCGATGAGCCTCTAGATCTGGTTGATATCATTCAAGCAGTTGAACCACCTCCTTATGCGAGGCCATCTCGTGTTAAAGTACGTCCTAAGAAATTAAATGATTACATATGTGCTGTAAAGTGTACTGATGTTACTTTTCCTTTATCTAAAGTGATGACATTTGATAATTTGAGTCCAGAATACAAGAAGTATATTCTGGCCAGCTCTGCTGTTCTAGAACCTAGATCATATAAAGAGGCCATTAAGGATCCTAGGTGGTCAGAAGCTTGCAATTCTGAGTTAGCTTCTTTGGACAAAACTAATACATGGACTATTGTTGAATTGCCTGTTGGTAAAATTGCTATAGTAAATATGTGGGTTTTCAAAATCAAATTTCTTGCCAATGGTGACATAGAGCGTTTTAAATCTCGTATAGTAGCAAAGGGATACACTCAAACTCCTGGCTTGGACTATTTAGAAACTTTTGCACCATTCGTCAAACACACTACTGTTAGACTTGTTTTGTCTTTAGCTGCTATTAATAACTGCCATTTACATCAGCTTGATGTTAATACAACATTTTTACATGGAGACCTTGATGAAGAGGTCTACATGAAGATTCCTCCGGGTTTAGTTGTGCCTCCTGATTTTAAGAATCCAGTTTGTCGTCTCAACAAATCTATCTATGGTTTAAAACAAGCAAGTCGTCAATGGAACATCAAACTTTCTAAGTTTTTAACTTCGGCTGGGTATAAACAGTCCAAACCAGACTACTCAATGTTTGTTCGCAGTCATGAGCAGTCTTTTACTATTGCTCTTGTATATGTTGATGATATAATCTTGGCAGGTAATTATCTTAAAGCTATTACTACTCTTAAACAACAACTAGATCAAACTTTCACAATCAAAGATCTTGGAGAATTAAAATTCTTCCTTGGTCTTGAAATTGCTAGATCTGCTAAGGGTATTTTGTTATATCAACGGAAATTTGCCTTAGATTTACTAACAGATTATGGTTTCCTTAGTGCAGAACCTTGTGATTCCCCTTCTGTTCCAGGTACCAAACTGTCTGCTTCTTCTGGTAATGTACTCTCTGACCCTTCTGTTTATAAACGATTGGTAGGGAGACTCCTATATCTTTGTAATACGCGTCCTGATCTAGCTTATTCAGTTCATCAATTAAGCCAATTTACACACAATCCTACTGATCTGCATATGCAAGCTGCTGAACGTGTTCTACGTTATTTAAAAGGCACTGCAGGTCAATGACTTTTCTTTTCTGCTGAATCTGAACTAAAATTACAAGCTTTTTGTGATAGTGACTGGGCTGGTTGCCCTGATACGCGTCGCTCTACTACTGGATTTTGTGTTCTATTGGGCAATTCATTGATAAGTTGGCGTTCAAAGAAACAGAATACTGTTTCTCGCTCATCAGCTGAAGCTGAATATAGGGCAATGGCTAGCTTAACTTGTGAATTAATGTGGCTTAGATATGTGTTGAATGATCTGCAGATCTGTCTATCTTCGCCTACTCCCATATTTTGTGATAGTATGTCTGCTATTAAGCTTGCCGATAACCCTGTGAATCATGAACGCACCAAACATATAGAGATTGATTGTCATGTCATTAGGGATAAGATTTTAGATGGGGTGATCAAAGTTCTTCACGTTTCTTCTGCTAACCAACTTGCTGACATGTTTACAAAGGCTCTTCCAGTTCATGTTTTACAACAGTTGCAGCCAAGCTGGGTCGTCTTGATATATACGCACCAGCTTGCGGGGGGGAGTTGTCCAAGGAGGAAACGACGAGGACTTAAATGTATATAATGTATAGTGTATAGGTTAATTTGTAAGATTCATTTAATTAGTGTACTGTATAGGATTTTTAGTTTATTATATATATGAGATATGTAATGGATAATGTAATTTTTCCTCTTCTGATGAAATGAAATCTGCCTATCGGCTTTACCAAACCACACAGTTGTTCCCCTTCAATCGAATCATTCTCTAATTTGATAAACTCAACTCCATCCCGAGCATCGACCCCATTCTTCAGGCGAGCTTCTTCCCGTCAATCCCTCACTGCATGTCCTCCCAATCCCAGCTTCACCGTCTGAAGAACCTTCTGCACCCCACTCTTCCCGTTCATGAACGGAGCCCAGTATGACTGTCCGGCGCCACGCGACAACAAGCCTGACTCGAGAATCAAGATCTCATCAACGATGTCCCCAGTCTGGAGGTCCCCAGTTCATGAGATATATCCGACAATTTTTTGTTTTGTTTTCTAACCTCCGCCGACCTAGCTTGCTTATGGAAAGAAGTCCGATAGAGAAGGGGGAACGACAATGTGCAAGATTTTATCAAATCATTTCCTTCCCAAGCCCATAGCCCCTTAGATTTTTCTTCTTTTCCGTCCTCCCTGAAAACCCATAGCCCATAGCCCCTTAAATTTTTCTTCTTTTCCGTCCTCCCTGAAAACCCATGTTGGGCCATCGACGTAGAGAAGTCCGATGAAGACATGCTCTTGAAAGGTTGGGTTGTATGCGATTAGAAGAAAAGAAAAGAAATTCATTCTATTTTTTAATGAATGTAAAAATGAGGTGAAAAATTTAGATGATTAAAATTTATTATTTTATTATATTTTAATGGTCACGTCACACAATTAACGTTGACTATGTATGGCAAAGGGTCATGTTTGGAGCGGATGCTACTATATCCGTGACATGCCCTGCCCTCTACTAGGGATGGCAATGGGTTGGGTTGGGGCGGGTTTTTTCAAACCCAAACCCAAACCCATGGGTTTATCCGCCAAAAAAACCCGGGATAAAACCCGTTGGGTTTGAAAAACTCAAACCCAACCCAACCCGCTGGGTATCCGCGGGTTCGTGGGTATCCGTGGGTTTTTGTGGTAAAAAATTTACAATAACAAGTTTCTTTCAAAATAAAAGTTTAACATTAATTTTCTCATACAAATTATTCATACAAAAAAAAAAAACACCAATCTAGAGCATACAAGCAAACCACAAATGATCAATACAAATTGTTCAAAATTAAAGATAAACATCTATAAACAATAAGATTAATTGAAAGCTTCTTACTCGTCAACTAAGTTTCTTCACTCTCCACTTCATAATATCAACTTCATTCTAAACAATTAGAAACAACTAATTATATATGTCTCCACAAACATAAAGAATATTAATTGTTTAAGGAAGATATATCATTCAGAATATTAAATATACCGAGAAAATAATTATATGTGTGTGGGCGGGTACCCATGGGGCGGGTTTACCTAAACCCAAACCCAACCCGACCCGGTGAATAGTGTAGCAGGTTTAAACCCGAACCCGGCCCAAAACCCGTCAACTCGGGTTTTACCCGAGTTGACCGGATTGGGTCGGGTGGGTACCCGTGGGTTCGGGTTTTGTTGCCATCCCTACCCTCTACTTTGTGATCCGCTCTGCCCCATGCCCTGTGACGGGTCGATGTTTTTTGCCCCAAAATTCGCCCCGCTGCCCTGTTCATCTCTCTATCTTTACATGTAATCTCTTCGGTGCTAGTTTCCATCACTTTTATCTCCCAAAACTAAATTGCAAAAGCAGAGGCAGAGACTCTTTCAAGTCAATAGGTAGCCTGACCTGAAATCGACGGCGGAGCGACAAAGACGACAGAGCGGAAGCAACGACGGCAGAGATTTCCTTGAGTGGATCTCCTTGAGTATGCCGAACTGGAGGAAGTCGCCGAGGGGAATGGTGGTGGTGGCTGTTTCCAGAGGTGGGGGGTTACCGGGTTAGTAACAAGACGATGGTAAGATAGGGTGATGACGACGGAGGAGGAAGAGGTCGAAGATGGGAAAAGTTTATCTTGGTTCTATTTGCGGTGGGAAATTAAGAGGATAGAGGAGCATTTGGGAATTGGGAACAACAATGAGAATTGAAAGGTTGGGTAAAAGGGGAGCATGTGGGTGGAAAAGGGAAATGGAAAGGTTGGGTTTGCTTGTATTGATGGGGTCATGGTTGTCACGCCGGCCGGCGTGCCACTGGTTGAATCTGGTTCAACCTATACCAGTCATAAAACCGGCATGACACCACCGGTATGACCGGCATGACCGGCATGATCGATATACGAATCTTCAAGTAAAATAATCTTACCTTAGTGAATTTAATTGATAAATAGTAATTTATTATTTATTTTATGGGTTAAAAAGTTAAATGTTGATGTTATTTGTTGGATTCAAGTACAAATATTTAGGTATTGACGTTAAATGTCGTGTTTAAATATGCGTATTTGTAAATTATTTGTAATATTAACCGGTATGAACCGGCACAAACCGATATGTACCACCGGTCGAATCATTCCACTTCCTAACCCGGCACAATGACATAAACCGGTTTGACAACCTTGATTGGGGGTTGAAGGGGATTAACTGGAGGATCTTGAATTGGGGAATGGGTTTGGGTAATGACAAAAATGAATGGCGACTTTTGATCTCCATTTCACTTGAGAGAAGCAGATTAGGGTGGATCAGATCGGGGCGACACATAGAATCCATGTCCGATCTGTTCTAACTACGGATTGGGTCAAGGTCCGTCCTGTTCAACAACGGATCAGATTTTATCCGCCCATTACAGGTCGGATCGGGGAATATCCGACGGAGCGGTTCTGGTTTGCCATTCATAGGGTTGACTGCCACATCAGAAAAATTCAATAGAGACTAATAGATAGTGACCAAATTTGAATTGTTGAATTAATCTTAGTGACTAGGAATGAAATAAAATAATTTTAGTGACAAATATTAAATATTTTAGTAATCCAATGATCAAACGTGTAATTTACTAAAATAAAAGACAAGTACTTGGAGAAAGACGGAAGAGAAAAGGCGCAAATTAACAGAAAAAAGCGAGGAAAATAAGAAGAGCTGGAGAAATTCCCTGAGGGGCATGGAGCCGAGTAAAGAATTCGATGGAGGCGGTGACGGAGGTGGAGGAAGTTCCGACGATAAATCAAAGCAAATCGACAATCAAAAGCCGGAGGAAGGAGGAGGAGGAGGAGCCGCCGCCGCCGCCGGTGGTTTGAAGGGGAAATCATGTAAGGGTTACCTTTACTACTCTTCCGTTCTCAAATCCAACGGCAGGAATCCTCGCTGCATCGGCATTCCCCGTACCCTCCCTTCAGGTATCTACTCCTTCCCTGCCCCTATTGCTTCCCAAATATAAATTGTTGCACCCCACAACCCAGAATGATTCCATTATGATTGATCCTTAGGCTTATTTGTACTGTGATCTCTTTGCCGCTTCTAGCGCTGCCTGTTCCCATAGAAATACCCAGTAGTTTTAACTCTATTTACATCCACCATGGAAGTTTGGTACCAAAAGCTTATGGCTTTCTTGGTGCCCGTGCCCAGACAGGCTGAAGGTTTTGATTAACTGATCTGTTTTGCTACCATTCATTTTTGTTGTGCCATTTTATCCTCTTGCAAGAATGTAATTTGTTGTAAGACTTGGTGGTGAGATGGAATGCTTGATTTTGTTGCTTTGAATTGAGATACACTCCTATGGTAGAAGTCTTTACTCATGGGTGTGTACAAGAGGATATCTTTTTACTGACTTGCCAATCTTTCATGTTCAGGAACTAATTTTGGTGCTGGACGAAGTGAGCATCAATCTGATAATGAGAAGGATCTCAATGACTTTTACTATGGTTGTGCCGGGTACTCGGTGTATGTTAATGGTGACCATTCGGCAGACAAAGAAGAGTTAAAAACGCGCTTACCGGGCTGTATCGGCCTGGAGGTATTTCTCTCTTACAACTCCTCTCTCTCTCATTCTCTGTGCTTTCTCCAGGTAGTTGCTGTGAATCATTTGGTTAAGTGTGTTCGTTAGTTTTTTCCTTTTGATGATCTAAAGCAGAATAGGATGTGAACTAGTTGGGTTGTTGTATTTCAACTGTCTAAATGTGTAGATGTTTAATATATAAAGGCTGAATTTGATTGCTAACGTTACCGATGTGCTAATGTCGGGAATTTCTTGGTGGTGGTGGTGGTGGCTTTGGTTCATATCAGGGTTTATTCGTTCCTCACACAGGACTAGCATGTCTGAAAAATTATCGTCTTTGAGTTGCTTTCTTCTCTATCTCGGTTGCCTATTGAAAAAGGTTATGTCGCCAATGGTATTTTTTTCTTCCTTGCAGCTCCTAGTGAATAAAAAAGTCATCAATTCAAGTACTTCTGCTCCAGCTCCTGCTCAACATAGAGAAGGTGCCAAACTATTTCTGTTTATTCTGGATGTTGCATGTTGCTTCCTCTTATGAGGACCTCAAATCGCTGCTATAACGACAGGGCTATCTTTTTCATACCATAAGCAATGTTTGTTTTGCTCTTTACATGCATAACATACACACAGAATGTAGTTGGAATCTGCTATGCCTAGTTCTTTTTATGTATAAAACTTCTTTGGCTATTCCTAACTTTGTATCATCTGATTCAAGGAAATCCTTAGTAGTGCTTTTGCCGGTGTTTTCATCCATTCATGTCCAGTGTAGTTTCACGTCATACAATTTGTACACCTAACCTCGTTGATTTCTCTTTATATATGTTGTCTGTGGGTGTTAAAGATGGTCGCAGCGAATCCCCTCGTCCTCAGATGCCGAAGCCACTCCAGACTCCAACTGACGACTTCCTGGCCAGGCAAGTTGATAAGTTTCAACACTATTAAAATAGTTAACACATATGTATGTGTAGTTCAAGAAGACATAAGGAACGAGTTCCAACTAAAGCCAATCTGATGTCCTTTTGAATTCATAGGTTTACAAGGAATGCGAACCTGGTTGCCTCAGGAGTTGCCAGGAACATGAGGAGAGTAGGGAACCACATAAAAGACACTGTAGATGATATATTTTTCCCCTTCAGAAGACGTCCCAAGTGAAGTGAGGCTTCCCCGCCAGCCAGTGGACACCAGGGAATCCATATATATCTTCATCCAGAGAGATCCCTTCTTACTCCATTCCCTGAGTTAATGTACTATTCAAGCTTTTGCCCCCCTCCTTTCATAAAATGCTTCCCCCAATGGCCCCTTGTTACCAAGAAAATATCAGAACATAGCAAATGGCGGTAAGAAGAAAATGTATAATTATTTGGTTCTTTGACAGCTGCATGATGATCAAATCTGTACTCCCAGTATCGTTTTTGGTTTCGATGCCATTATTAGTCTCTATTTGAGGTCTATTTCAGCAGTTTGCATGACAGGGGAAATCTTGTTACCTTCCATCTGGTGCTCTCGCTCCTAAAAAGAGGACAGGCCTAGAAAATGTACTATTGCTCCTGTATTTGAAGACCAAAATTTGATCTATTGGGAACTATCACTAGTATGTGTGTATATTATGAGTATGAGTCTGGATCCTGAATGCATATCAGCGTAGCATTAATTTGGAAACGGATTGCGAGCTCTAGTACATACGTAGTTAGTATCCATGTTGAATTTAGCAGTGAATGCATATTTAAAGAGTATCAAAACGTGTGCTGTAGAATGGTGGTGGTTCAGATTAAGAAAAGATGGTAGTGTATTTTACTATTTTATGATTTTATTCATTTGTATGCACATTTGTTTTGGAAATTGAACTAAAGGGAATCCCTGCATGACATTATCACGATAGAACAGGATTACGAGGGGCTCTGATAGGCGGGTTTGGGTGATGTAGGGATTGTTTTACAGGACCTGTTTGGCTTGTTTTGAGACAGGTCCGACCCGCCTCGCAGGTGGGGCGAGGTCGAGTACGGGTATTCTTATTGACCCGATTTGTCCTCACCCGCCTCAATTTCGACCCGTTCTTGCCTAAATTACGGGGTCGTTTGGATGAGTTGTTGTGTAACGAGTTAATATAAAAGAGGAATTCCTCACAAAATGAGAATGTGGTATTTGTGAGTTATTTCACAATAACAATCCCTATGAGGTATTGACAATAACTCATCAATGAGTTATTTCAAATTAACTTAAGTACAAATAACTCATCACCAACTTTTGTAGACAAAAGGGTTATTGCCCCCAAATAACTCATACGAATAACTCATCCAAACGACTATAAATGTAATATTAGTCAAATTACTTAGGATTTTCCTTTTATTACATAATATTTAAACTATAATAAAGTTGTAAATTAGTGAAAACCTCAATTTCTTCAATATTTTAACTACATTTATCATAATATGGTTTGTTTTCTTGGTCGTATAGTGAAATTAACGAATATTTTTAATGTTTTCCATATAAATTACATATCTATTGGGTCGACCTGCCCCGACCCGCGACCCATGATAAATTACCCGACCTGTCACGAAGCGGGTATGGATACCGTGATACCTGTCCTAGACCTACCCTATTATCATTTCTAGTGTTATCTAAAGTCCCTATTCCTCACTTTATCATGGAGAGGCTTCGAGTTGATCGAGGAATTAACCCACACCCTAGTTTGTGCTCGTCTTCCCAAACTCCACTCTTCTAGACCATTGTTTTGTAGAACACTTGTTGCATAGGCGGAGGCAGGCTACTTTAGATGTGTCCTAGGACACAGGTGAAATTTGGGGTAAAAAAATAACACCCATATGTGTATCAAGTTAGAGGTGGAAATTGGTACGATATTTGGTATCGGAATACCAATATCGAAATCTTAAATACCGAATTGCATCCTAAAATTAATGTCAATCTCAATCCCTAAATAATTTCGATAACTCAATCTCTAAATATGTTGGTATCACAATTGATATTATCGAATACAAAATTAATTACCTTTGCAGTTAATAATTAAATATATAAATTTAATTTAATTGTTTAATTTAGGGCAAAGAGACTAAGCAACGAGTATTGAGTTTGCCTAGAGCTAGGATATGGATAAGGAGAACGGAGGAGAGGTGACATCTCAAATTCTTGTCATTTGTAATTGACTCGACTCTACTGTCACTCCAGGAATTGGCCAAGTGTAACCACTTCCTAAAGCGTAGTATAGCGGGTTTAGGTTTAATTATCAACCCGGGTCCTAGATATGATGACTACTCAGTGAATTCGTGTTATCTAGCAATGAAAATGGAATGCAAGTCTAAACTATCAAACTAACAAAGCAGGTAAACGGTTGTATTCAGGTTAAAGAGGTCACCCGGATATGGTTCCCCCTAGACTGCAGTTAAGCCGGATTGTAATTACCAAGTTCAGTTTCTATGATAGTTACACTGCGGAAGGTTCTTAAACAGCCTGAAGTCTCGACTAAAGGTCTTCAGACCCTCTCAATCTGACTCTCTAGCGGGCGACTAACCTCCACCGGAGTCGACAGATTGAGGCCCTAAGAACAAAACCTCCACTACCGGAGTAAATCCGGTACAGAATAGTGAGTTGGCTCCTCGAATAAAGTCACCAACTCCCTACCTTCAATCAAGGATACTCTATTAACCTAGGCAGATATTCTCATTCTAGGTCAAAGCAGAAACAACAGGAATTTGATCAGGATTCAAGTCATTCAATCATTAAAACCTCAATCGAATATAATCAATCATAGAATCAGTACTTGGGTTCATACAATCAAAGCCTAACATACAAATCTAGGGTTCTCCATACCCAGATGAATGGCAGAACTACTCCATGGAGAAGAAAGCAAAAGCAGAATCAGACACGGAATTCATACTGCGAAGGATGGATTCCTGCTTCTGGACGTTGATTGGCACTTCTCCAAGCTCAAGCTGGCCTCCAATGGTGTTGAAGATCAATCTAGGGCACTTGGGAACTCTTGCTCGTCACTTTCTCTCTCTAGGAACTGATCTCTCTCTCAAAAACTCGAATCCCCCTGAATTGTGGCTGAAATTCTGCTTAAAAGGAGAAAATCCCGACTCACATGGCCAGAGTGGCACGGCCGTGCAGCTCACCCAGTTGCCCGTGTGAGTCAAAACGCATCGTTTCATTTAGTTCGAATTCCAGGCTCTTTGCACGGCCAGAATGGCACGACCGTGTGGACATCCCCTCTTGCCCGTGTTTGCTCTCGCAGAATGTGGCACGGCCAACCCGGCCACTTGCACGGCCGTGTCGATCCTCTGCTCTGCCCGTGTGTGCTCTCGGCAAAACTCGCACGGCCAGGCCATTACTTCACACGGCCGTGTGAATATCAGGGCAGCCCGTGTGACCTCCTTTGTGACTTGTCTCGCACCCGATCTTCGCCCAATCGACCCCGAACTCGCTCCTAAACCTTCATTCACTTGCCAGGACCTGAAATATCACAAACAAGCACAACCTAGCGTGAAATCGGTCTAAAACACGAGAAACCACATCTCCAACGGTGTAAGAACAGGGGTGAAAACATGTGTAACTAACGGTCTATCAAACTCCCCCACACTTAACCGTTTGCTTGTCCCCAAGCAAACCTAACTCAAACCAATGCAACTCTCCAGACCTCTATAGCAACAAACAACCCAGATCGTAGGTAGAGGACTTCCTAGATCATTTAGCAGCTTACGAGGTCAACCGACGCACAAGTCATCTCATAACTTCTTCGGCGAGTCGGCATCATGGCAAATAGTGAACAGAGGACAATTGAATTGTGGATGAAGAGATTCTCAAAAACAACAGATCATGGACTCACATTTTTCAAGGTGCTCTATTTTCTTCTTGAAGATGGTTGGAACCCCCTTTTTTTCTGTTTTGCTTGTTTTCTGTTATTTTTCTTTTCTTTTCTTTTCAAGGGTCCCAACCTGCTCTTACCGGCCATGCCAGGAGCGGATGTCTCGAGCCTCGTGCGGGGGAAAGACATGTAAGGGGGCTGGAGGTAGTAGGTGGAAATTGGGAACGGATTCCCGTCTCCCCTTACACACTTTCGCCCTATTCGCACGGGAGACGTTTATTTTGAAGCACATTTTCGAGCACCTGTTATTTTCAAAACATGACACAAGAGTCCATGACAGCCAGAGAATCCACAACACCACACAATTCAAGGGTCCTAAGATCACTAATTCACTCAATCAACCAACACAATATGAAGAAGAAATGAGACTTCTTAAATGCATCAACATCCTCCATAGTGCTACACTACCTCCCTAGGTTGCATATCACTACAAAGACTGTCAATTCAAAGCATACTGAGCAGGCAATTGCAAGGAACACGTACTTGGAGCCCTCAAATTTTTAAAAAATTTGGACAGTGGACTAGGCTCCAAGCACACAAACAGATCTAATGCAGTCAAAAGATAAACATCCCCCCACACTTAAGATCGACATTGCCCTCAATGGAGAAGAGGGAAGGATAAGGGGAACGATGTTACCGGTATGCACGGACTGCAGGGGACTGGAAGCGGGCCAGTCGGGGCAAGCACAGTCAAAGGGGAACAGAAGAGCTCAGACACAATATGTTAGGTTCAATGGTCAGCCCAATAAAATATCATCCAAACCAAAAGAAAACAAACCAAACCCAAACCGGGTTACAATCCGACTCAAAACACAAGAAAAAAAAATCAAACCGTGGTGGGGTTGCCTCCCCACAAGCGCTTCTTTACCGTCGTATTAGCTGGACGCCCATGGCGGATACTCAGGGCGGTGCAGGAACAGGTGCCTCCAAGAGCGGATCCACGTCGCTCTTGAGGTACAGCTTCAGGTTGTGGCCATGCACCCGACGGATGCGACCACCCTCATCAGTCAGCTCGACCTGCCCATCTGGCAAGATGCAGGAGAGCGAGTACCCAGACGGCCAGGGTGGTCGTGGTGCAGGAGGTGGGACCAGCTCATAGTGGTCTCCACTCTTCTTCCGTGCAGGCTTAGCAACCTGCTGCTTCGGCCGCCACTCCTCCTTGAGCTTTTTGTTCGGAGGCGAGGCTGGATGGAGTGGCGGCGAAGGAATGATAGGAGGGTCCTGCCAAATAGGAGGTGCAGAAGGGTACACGACAGACTCGTGTACCTGATCA